GCGAATGACCGTAGTCGGCTAAGTGCAGTCACTAGTATCAATTCCAGATGCTTTCATCTCTCGTCAAAAGCGAAACAGAGAAAGGGAGAGGGGAGGAGATAACTGAAAACATTCTACTATTTGGCCTACCATTTAAATGTAAACTACTTTGGTCAAAATTTCAATAACAGTAAAGTGGTACCTTTTGGCAGCCATATGATAAAGTCCATTGCCGCCCTGATCCAAAACATTTTTGTCGGCCCCAAGACACAGCAGTGCAGCAACAGCAGGCCAACAGCCCAGTTCAACAGCTACATACAGCGGCATGTGATCTTCAGTAATTACACTGCTCTGTAAGTCGCTCAGGTTATCACCAACATCGCCTGGACAAATACCAGCATATAACTATCGACACTGCTGACTCTGAGTTACATCATCAAGCACGGCAATACCAGGCTCTTTGCGTATGTTACTCAACGATTACTTTTGTCCGCTCTCAAGCTGCGTACGTAAACCTTTCCGGCCCATAACCAGCACAACATTAAGCTCGGAATCTCCTCTAAGTGTACTACGCTCAAAATACTGGAAGAACGCTTCCACTTTCTGGAAATAGCGTGATAAATTTTTGCTGTTTGAAGAAAATTTTTGTTACTTTGAACTTCAAGGAATAAACTGTGAAAATACCAATAAATAGCTGCGCGCCAGCGTATCTGGTGCGATCATGTGCTATGCGCAGTTTTCACCAGCGGGCGTCTACCTCCTAAGGATTTTCACTGCTTCACATTTTGGTCTGTGAAAAAATAGTCGATATGTTTGGTTCATGAGTTGCGAAGTTTCGCTTTAAAAATTTCACGCACCACTGCTTGAAGCGCAAGTGTACGTGAAAGCTGAATTTGAAACGCTGGGCAGTGAACATTGTTCTTTTAACCTCCTAATTCTCTGGCTCATGAGTAACTTTCGCGCCAAAACTTTTGTATGATCGTAAGTGAGACTTCATCATACTTGGGAGGTAAGTTTGAGTTTGTTAAGTCCCTGCATAAGCAGAAATCATCCTCCTGGAGTTTTCAGCCTCTCAGCTCTTCACACTCCCGAGATAATTTTTCTTACCAAAACCTTCAAATGGCCGCACGTGGGATCCAGGCTTAGCAAAGGCTGAATTCGAATTTGTGAGGTTGTACATAAGAAGGGACACTACCCAAAAAC